TTACTTGAAAACTTTGGGAGCCAAAATATGATTCTTAAAATAAAAACTTTGCACTAAAACTAAGAAATTTCGAGATTGACTGTCATTTAAAGTCTTTTAGAAGTCCAATATCTCTGGGATTGAAAAAACAAAATTTTTAATTAAGAATTTCTTTCTTAAACCGAGAAACATCGAGTAAAATTTATGCTTGATTTGTTATTCAAATTTGATTGATTTTTATTGGTTGGTCAATCTCTGTTTTTTGCTGAGTGTAGCTGCTTCACGTATACGGTTGCTGCTTGTTTCTCTCTGTGTAGGCCTAGTTGCTCCAGTTTCGGGACTTGGCCATAGCCATGTGGGAGTTGTCCTATTGATTTAATTTCCACTATTCTCAGTGACGCGATGCGCGACGTTGTCGAGTTGAATGCGCTGTGTCGCCGCGCCGCGGCGTCCCAATAATCCGGAGGCGCCTCCAAGGGGTTGTTTTTGCCACATTCTCTGTGGCTCTTGGCTCATAAGCCATGTTTTAGTTTTGTTGCTGTTTGCCGGCGCCACAATGACTGCGCATAATTTTATGGTTTTTGTGTAGTTGTCTCAGTTCCCAGGCGACTTGTTATTGTGCCTTAGGCCATAATTGATATCAATATTTTGGGCGAGTTCTACAGAAGCCCCTGCGGCTAATGCTCAGCGAAATGCAGACAAACACAACTGCAGCTGGCTGGCTGGACAACATGACCTAGACATTTTGGTCTAGTTAAACATACTTTTCTCGATAGCGATCAGTCGTTACAGTGTTGTGAAGGTCATTGTGAGGCGAGGTCTTGGAGCAGCTCAGCCAATTTGCATAGTAATTAATAAGTTTATGACTAATGATGGGGCGCAGTCTGCATCTATATTGACAATGACTTAACTTGGACACGGCGAAGAGTCACAAAGTAAACTTAACTCAAAAGTTGGCTCAAACGTGAGCTGATTATTTATCAACAAATATTAGTCACCACTGGGCAAATATGGTCACCCTTTGCTGATTAAATCGACGCTATCTTGATTAAGTGGCCCAAAAGTATTTGGAATTTTGTTAACACAATTTCCTTTTCCCCAAAAATCTAACTATATTTAATTAAAGCACATACAAGCAGTGTTCAATGTACATTTATCTTGATAACATTCCAGGCAACAATTTAACTAGGAATTCGCCAATTCAACTGAGTCAACAATGAGGTAATATCTGTGCCTAACTTTAAATACAGTGCAAAACTCGGGCGCGGGCATGTATTCGAGGTGGAACATGAAAAATCGTTTGTTGTAACAAGTGCGCATTGCACTTGAAGTACTGACAAATTGTTTAACTTCAGAGCCCGCCCATCTCCTGCCCCCTGTCCCCTGTCCGGCAGCCTCTGCCAACAGACAGACATCAGCTGATAAGACAATTGTCGGCCTTTGTCTCTGACTCGATTGAGTGGGTGAGTTGTACATATAACCATATGTGTATGTATGGGCTGTAGACCAGGTTCTCTGGCATTTTATCAGCCTTTAGTTGGTGCTGCTGACCCACTTGCATAACCGTCGTGGTGTCCATGCACTTCCTCAATGCATTTTAAAACAAACATTGGCAATTGTCTTCGTATTTGGAGAACCAATCATACCATATCTATATATATATATATATACAAAAAGTGGGCGTTGCGAGTGCCATTTGGTTGTTAATCAATGAATGTGGCGAGTCTGAATTTATTTGTTAAAGAGTTTTTAGTGCTTGGTTTGGTTTTCTGGTGAATCACTTCAAATTGTTTGCCTGTCAGACGTGATCGTAAATTTCCTTATTAGCTACGCACATCAACAGCAATTAAGCTGATCAAACGAAATTTTCACAATATTTTTTGATAGCTCTGTTGATTGTCATTGTGTGTGGCTAATTGGCGCAGTTTTCGCATGCAAATTCTTCTATGATTGTGGACATAAATAAGAAGCCAAACGTATGTACGAAGAAATTTCTGTTATTAGCATGTATATTTAGCACACAAATTATGGACAGCCTGGGCATTCATTTTGTAACTCTTACCCATATAATTTTTATATTTAATGTGCTGAAATTAATTTAAAAAATCTTTGCACACATTTTTAGTATCTAAATTAGAATATTTGAATGAACCGCCAAAGTGTGCTAGCTATGCGAAACTGATTGCTACAGCACGACAAGTTGGCAGCGCCATTACCAAAATGTACTAAAAATACCGAAAGCTAAACTATCTGGGCACTCTGCTGTTGCTTTACAAATAAATTGCAGACAATTTGTTTTAAGCTGCCAAAAAACATAAACAAATTCAAATGGACAGCAACAACGAACTGTCAGAAGACTTAATCAGACGCCTGAGCGCTGGCGGCGGCCTGGGTAAGTCAAGAATTGGCGCGCGCTGCAGCTGGCGTGCAACCTGCGCCAACAGCTCGTGGTAAGGCCAACACAGCTACAGTGTGTCCACAAAGTCTGCGTGCAGCAACAGTTGTCAGCTAACTAATTTACTCTAAAACCTTGCAGAAGAAGTAATAGCCAGCGAAATCTTCGAGGAGACCAACATATACGAGGATGCGAACGATGCTGAAAATGAGCCCGACGACATTATCATTGTGCACATGGACATACGGGAACCGCTGAGCACACTCAAGTAAGTCCAGGCTAGATTTGAGCAAGTGTCGTGTTTTTTTGTTTTTGCGTGAAACGCATGCTAAAAAAATGATTTAAAATAAAGCAATTAAGCTAAGCCGCTTCTGACTTTTGTTTTTCCTTGCAGAAAACTTGTGGAGCAAAAGATCGGCGTGGAGCTGCACTACTACACATTCTGTCTGCAGGATGCACAGGAGGTAACAAGTTTAATATAACATTTGGAGCCTAACTAATGACAATAATTTGCAGCTGGAGCCGCACAAGAACCTGGTTGATCAGTGCGTCAAAGGCGAGGGTCTGGTGCAGATCAATGTACAAATTCAAACAATACGCAAGAAGATCAACATTGCGGATGTGCTCAAGCCCACGGAGGCGGCGCTGGCTACCCTGGCCATTGAGGAGGCAGCACAGCTCAGCGCTCAGGACACCAATAGCAGCGGCAAGAGCTCGACCAGCGATAGTCCAAGCAAAGCAAGCAAAAAGCGCAAGCACAAAGCAGATGACTCCTACGATGTGGATGTGGTCACAGACGAGGACAAGGACGTGGATGTGGAGGCGGCCAAGCCTGTGCTCAACTGGGTGCTGGATAGCAAATTCAAGCGCGAGCAAATACGTCTCAAAATACCCGAAGCGGTCAGCGAATGGACACCAGCGCATGTTGCGCACTGGCTCGAGTGGGCGGTCAAAGAATTTGAGCTGCGTGACCTCAACATAGATGAATGGCATATCACGGGCCAGGCACTATGTTCTATGACGCACGAGCAATTCAGTCGCAAACTGCCGCGTGATCCGGGCAATGTGTTTTGGACACATCTGCAGCTGCTCAAGGAATGTAATTTCGTGTCGGTAGTGCACAAACAGGTCGAGGAGCTGCGCAAGCCCAAGCAGAGCAAACCGGCGGGCGGTTTAACGAACCCTGCATTGGAGCAGCGCATTATGCGCAAGTCCTTGCAGAGCGTCAAGGACAATGACTGTGAGTAGCCTATGTCAGGAAATCCAAAGCATAACTAAACCCCTGCCTCATTTTACAGCCTCGGAGAGCTCGACGGCGCCGCAGAGTCCAAGTCACAACAACAGCATTGGCTCCGGCAACAATGGCCAGGTGCAGCTGTGGCAGTTTCTGCTCGAGATACTCACCGACAGTGAGCACACGGACATTATTGAATGGGTGGGCACCGAGGGCGAGTTCAAACTAAGCGATCCGGATCGAGTGGCACGCCTATGGGGTGAAAAAAAAAACAAGCCCGCCATGAACTATGAGAAGCTCTCACGGGCGCTGCGCTACTACTATGATGGCGATATGATATCCAAGGTGTCCGGCAAGCGATTCGCCTACAAGTTTGACTGTGATCTGAAGCTCTTGATAGGCTACGATGCCAGCGAGCTGTCCCGCTTGGTCAACGAGCGTAAGTGGGCCGAGCATCTGAAGGCGACGCACAAGGAAACCAGCAACGATGCGACATGACAGCCGGATATCGGTGTCAAGGAAGAGCCCTACATCCTGTGGAAGTACGAGGCGCCATAACGTTGGCTTAAACTGTTAGTAGTTAGTTTAATGGCCAGATTAACTGTTTTGCATTTAAATTGTCATAGGCACTTGATTTTATTGTTCATTATGTTCATAATATATTGTTATTCACTAAGCACTATAATCTCCGTCTCCATAAGCTATATATATTATATATATAGGTACTCTAACTATCTATTTAGTAGGCATCGTATATGTTTAGGTATTATATCGAATATTGTTCGATTGTATGTTGCGATTTTTGTAAAATCCATTAAATTAAAAAAAAAAACTATTTACCAAGCGATTTTTTGGGTAATATTTGTCGGCAACTTGAAGTGATAAGCTAAGATGGTTCGGTTCTGAAATCAAAAATTATGGATGCCAATCCATTCTATGGACTTTCACGTGCCCGAAGATGCGAACCTTTTCGAAACCGGGCTAGATTACACGATTTATATCCATTTAAAGTTTTAATTCGAATATTTAAAATACGAATATCTCGGGTATATCAAGCCTATTTTCAAGTGATTCACCTCTCTCGACTCGTGCAGATAAGGAATTTCGATTGGCATTAAAAAATTCCAATTCAAAGATTTGACAAAATTTGAGAAAAATGGCAATTTCAATCATCACAATTTTTTCTGTAATGGGGTCGGTTCTAAAATCAAGAATTTTAGATGCCAATCTGTTCTATGGACTTTAACTTTATTTACCATAAATATTCCTATTCATAAAATTTCCTATTCAAAGATTTGAGAAAAATTGCAAGGGGTACCATCACATTTTTTCCAGACGAATCAAGTAAATAGTTACTTTAATGCCCAGATTAAGTGTAATGCATTTCGATGGTTATAGGCACTTGATTTTATTGTTCATTATAGATTGTTTTTCACTAAGCATTATAATCTCCGTCTCCATAAGCTATTGCTATAAATATCATATATGTATGTAGCTTTCTATGTGGTAGGCACTATATCGAATATTGTTCGGTTACATGTTGCGATTTTTGTAAAATCCATAAAATTAAAAAAAATTCATTTATCGATTTTCATTTTCATTTTTTTGTTTTTGTGTTTGTGATTTTACATGACTAGTTCGCTCTCTAGAGTCTAGATAAACTAACTAAAGCTAAGCTAGATTAAACTAAACTAAACTAAACGTAAACACTTAGCGACTCGATGTCTAAATGTGCGTCTCAGTTTGTTGATGGCCTGACGGAATGTGCTCAACTCCGGGCTGGATTCGCGCTGCACTTGGTGACGTGTAGCGTGGCCAGCTGTGTCTAAGATAATACTCTTCCTCTTGCCCGACATCGTTAAAAGGCAGCCTAACTAGAGCTCAGTCGTGATCTCGTCCTGCGGCCGAAAGCCCAGTTTGTAGAACTCATCCTCCAGCCAGAGCGAGCTGGCATTGAGATCCGTGATGAGATTACCGCTCTTCAGCGTGTTGAAGCTGCTGCCAAATGGATCAGAGGCGCGCGGCTCCTCGAACTCGTGCAAGCTAATTAGCGAGCCGAACAGGTGCAGCTTCTGCTGCGCCGAGGCGCTGCTGCTGCGATCACCTGGCAGCAGATCTCCGCCCAGCTTATTATGACTGGGCGTCGTCGTCGCACCCTGCTGCTGATGCTGCTGCCTGTAGATGCTGTGACCTGGCTGTTTCTTGGCGGGCGCCGCATAGAGCACATCGGGCCTGCCAGCATGGCTGGCTTGAAAGAAGTCAATCAGCTGGCCCACCTGCGGCTTGTAGCGCTCCAGCGCCTGCTCCGACCACGCATATAGACGCGGCCAATCGTGCGGCGGTTGCGTCGGTATCAGCTCAATGGGCCTGTTTAGCAGGATGAGCAGCTTGGCCAGATCCCGCACGATGGGCCGGTACGAGTTGGCCGCCGCCACCTCGCCGGACAAATAGAGCTTGCGTATTTGGCGGCGCGTGTCATTCAGCATGGCCAGAAAATACTCGGCATTTGGACGCATCTCGTTCAGTTGGCGCATGAAATCTGCCCGATCCATGGTGTTCTCATTGATGAGCTTCTGCTTGACGGACTTGCGCCGTCGCTTGCGCCGCACCAGCATCACGGCGACGGCCAGCAGCGAGAGGCACACCAGAAAGCCGCCCAGGAGACCCGCTAGTGCCGCCATCAGCGGTCCAGAGTAGCCAGTTGGCACACAGACGCGACCCATGAACTCTGTGTGTGCGGACCATTGATCCAGATAGCCCGCGGGGCATTCCTCCACACATTGTCGGGTATCCGTTACCAGGTACAGTGGACACTTGATGCAGCCCGCCTTGTTGCAGCGCAGACAGTGCGAACTCGTCGTCGCCGGACAGCCTGAAAGTAGAGGGTAGAGAGAGAGAGAGAGAAATTGGGTTACTTAGGCTGTGGGTCACAATTGGAGGTCTTTCAATTAGCGCTAGTTCACAATCATCATCAACATCATAATTGTTGCTCATTTGCATAGGGTAAAGTCACATCGCTCCCACAGACAATTCCACAAACATAAATGGCTGCAAATTAAGTCGTCCCATCCTACAGAATTATCACTGGACATCGAATCATACTAGGCAACCAAAGTCAGACACAAAAGTGAGGGGTATTCATTATGGAAATCCAAATTAAAGTGAAGAGTCTACAAACAAAATTTGATGTATTATGTATGTTAGATGCATATGCTTAAAACAAATCTCAAGCCAAACTCATGAGTTCAGAGTATGAAAAGTCCTTTGTTCGAGCTATTCTTTAAAAATTTGATCTAGGGAAAATTTAGATTCGTACGGACGAGGTAGAATATCACATGGACAGACCACATATATCATTTTATATATCAGGTTTTTACACCATACAACCATTATATATTTATTCCTATATCTCTTTGATGTCTAAATATTTATAAACACAACTAAATGACAACTTTAAAATCTTATTTAAACCTCAAATTCCTATCTAACTAGTGTTATGCTAACTTTTCTACTTCAATCGGACATTGTTTCTACACTCATAATATATTTAGCATACTTTCAGAAAATGTTTTTGTTTTTAAACAAAGTTCAAAAATGTAAAAACAGAAAACAATTTTTTAAATGATATATAAATAATATATTTAGGGCGATTTTCTGAAATAAGTTAATAATTATTATGTTTTATTTCACAAAATAATTGTTGTCCAGTCTTCAGTTGCGCCTAATAATTTATTCCATTTAGTTTTATAAATTCCAAACGTTCTATACCTTAGACTGAAAAGCCTTGTAGTCTAGTGTTAGGCTGCGCAGCATTATAAACTACGCATATCTTTGAGATTTTCCACTTTAACTGGGCTTTGTCACTGGCTATTTGCTTAGTATGCTTTCAAATTCAAGGTAAAGCCAACAAAAATTGTTTGACTTTTGGTTTTAAAAATACAACAAGATATTAACATAAGAAGTGTTGAGCAAACAGAGACAGAGACGGATACTGGAGACAGACAGTCAGCCAGACAGACAGACAGACGGACAGAAAGACGGACAGACTATGCTACATATTCTAGGAAGGCAACGCGTCGTCCAATGGGAAAGTTCAACATGAGCCGCAACGAGGAGGCGAATCCAAAGTGTTGTCGCCGAACATCAAAAGCTTTTTTGACAACTGCAACGAGAGACAACGAACGCAATGCGACTCCCAAGCAGGTCCGTTGTTGTCAGCAGCTGGCCCATTTATCTTGGGCCACAAGTGGTTGCTATACCCTGTGTTCACAAGGAGGATTGATAGTATATTGGTTTTGTGCAACATCCGTCCGTAAAGCTGGAGTCATTTAACATACACTATAATCTCGTGTATTCCCGCCACGCCTACTGGTTGTTGGGGTAATTCTTGAAAACTATATATCCCACAGTTTCTATAGCCGAAGTCACTAAATTTTTCTACAATGTAAAAATATTTGTGTGACTGTGAAATATACCTACGTTTTGGTGGACTACTCAAGCTTGCTCTAAAGGTAGCGTCAAAAATGTTGTCGCACGGCGTCTCGCCCCTACAAAATTCGCTGCCACAGTTTGAAAGTCAGAGTCACTGCCTAAGCTTGCAGTTTCAGAGTCTCTGGCACAATAATAAAGAAGAGTTCGTTTGAATGAACTTTCTGATTACCTAACTGATTAGCTGCCAAGCAAGCGGTTAAATATGAATCAAAAATAAACTAAAAATATTTGCTGTGTGCTGTTAAAAAAAAAAAATATTGCAACCGTTTTTTCTGGCATTTCGGGTACGACGTTTTTAGTATCCTCAATATATAGAATTAACTCATTTCGTAAAAAATATATATATATAAATAAATAAATAAATAAATATAAAAAATTAATATAATAATAAACTTTAAAAATAAAATAAACTAGTATAATGGATTTAAAATTTGAACAAAAAATGAAATAAATAAAAATAAAATATTCAAAACTTAAGAAGTTTTTTGGAAGTTAAATGACAAAGCAAGGCTTGAGCCAACGCCTGAGTTCAAACATGTTTAAAGATCGTTTCAGGATGATCTTAAAAGCAGGCATCTGGTGTGAATTGTAAAACGAACTACATTTTATTGGGTTGCAGCCCTGGTTCGCATATAAACCTTTGTTCGTGCAAATGAAAAAGCTGGTTCACAACATAAAGCCCAAGATAAGGCAATGCTGCAAGCCATAAACCACGCCTTTTACAATCTTATATTTTTTTCTAGTCACATTTGATGGCAGAGCAATGCACTGTGAACAGAGTATTGTGCAGTCGTTCTTCGTTGCCTTTCATTTTATTCGGAGCCTTGGCGGTTGCTGTCTGAGCGTCTGTCTGTGGCTCTTTGTCATTGCACCACGTACGCACCTTGTCTGCCCCCATTGTCATGCATTGGGCGTCCATTCGGAGCATCGGGAAGAGGCATCATCAATGGCATTAACTTGTTTTAGCGCTAATCAGACACAACCCCCGAGCAGCAACTGCAGCAGCAGCAGCTGAAGCTGCAGCGGCAGCAAACCGATTGCCAATTGCCTTTTGCCGACTGCCGTGTGTTTGCCTTGACCATGGCCAATTCCCATGCAAGAGCTGGCGGATAATCAGTCGGAATCGTAACTCGTAATTGATATTGCGCAGTCCCAGTCTCGCCAGTCCCGTCCCGTTCCAACCCTGCCCTGCCACCTGCTCTGTCCCAGTGGGCTGATTCTTGGGCGTGCAGTTGATCAACGATAATTGGTTATTAAATGGAAGATTGCTTTCCAATGCCGTCTGCCTGGCAGCTCCTCCAGCTCCAGCTCCAGCCCCATGTAAATGCATTGAAATTATAGCATCGGTCGATTACATTGATATATATACGTATATATAAATGATATCTCGATTAAGCCAGCAGGATTCCTTTGCCACGATCAGCGCATTCGTCGCACAATTTGTCGATTGCCGTGCACTTGACTGGAATAAATGCATAAGCAATGCTCCAACTGGGAATCGCAGCTCAATAGAGATTCAATTTAACAATTGATTGAATCACAGATCAAACAATTATCATTGCAGCAATATTTGAATTAAGTGTTCCGAGTAAATATTCCCTGTACACAATGAATATGCATAAGTCAAAGGTGTGTCAATCTATATAACACATATGGGATACTTCTGATATTCTACGGTATATACATTCTGGATCAGCATGAACGTCTTATATGATCTAGCCAGCATTATATTTTCTTCTGTCTGTATGAATGAGTTATTCTGAACCGTTAAAATGACAACACTTAAGGCAAATATTAAAAAAAGATAATAATAATAATAAAAAATATAATAAAACTGACTGAATTAATTTTGACCCGATTGCAGCGCCATCTACCGGGTCCAATTGTGCATCTAAACCCTTTCAAAATTAATAAAAAATCTGTCTGGCCATTTAGGAGTTCAGTAACATACATATATATTCCATTAATATTGATTCCATTCCGTTCTATTCCAATATTTATTAATATACGACCAAGTTTATAAACATATTTTATTTTCATCTGGCTATTCACTGATTACAGTAGTCACTCAAAAACAAGATATTGCAAAAACATTTAATTTATTGTTTCAATAATTAGACGAAGTCAAAAATTTTTCAACAATTTTTATATGAATTATTTTCTGGTTTTCAACATGTGTAAATTATGATTTTAAAAATTTCATAGATTTAGCTTATAGATTAAGTTCTTATGTAGAGCCATGAAAATAAGTTTGAAGCAAATCGGACACAACCTCAAACGTCGCCCAAAAAATCTTTAAATCGCATTCCCCCCGAAGAAGCTTGAATTCTGCGAAAAGAGTGAAACACGTCTCAAATCATTTTTCTTATAGATCTCTGCAAATGAATTTGAGCGCGAAACGTCACCCACCAAATCTTTGACCTCCATTTCCACCAAGGAGGAATGGATTTTCATAAAAGCGTGAAACACCCCTCAAATGAATTTGAACGAAGATCTTTAAAAATAAGTTTGAGGCTGATCGGATGGTAAGCAAAAAAGTTACATACAAACATACTTGCGGGTGGAAATTCCCGAAACCCCGTCTTAACGTGCACCTACATCACATAAGGTAACTATAGTGAAAATTTCAGCTTCCTAGCTGTTACGGTTTGGGCTGTGCGTTGATCACCAATCAGTCAGTCAGTCAGTCAGTCAGTCAGTCAGTCAGTCAGTCAGTCAATCAGTCAGTCAGTCAGTCAGTCAGTCAGTCAGTCAGGACAAACAATTTTAAATATAGATATTAGTTCTATATATTTTTTGTGCAAAAAAAAACTAATAGAAATCTTGAAGAGTTTTAAAGCTTTATTATTTGCGAGCGACTACTGTCCATAATATGACTATCATAATTTTTCCCTCGTATGGTATTGTAGAGGGTAATATAAAGGAGGGATTCATCTCCGACCCCAGAAAGTATATATAGATTCTCAATCTCAATTCATGATATAAACATGTCGAACTTGTCTCCCAGTTTTAAAGCTCTCGTCGTGAAACGTTGCGTAGGTTCGGCTTTTCAGTTTCAGTCAGTACATATGTATATCGGAATCGGCCGGATCGGACCACTAAATCATATAGCTGCCATAGGGACCGTAGGTCGATAAGTTGGTTCTTATTAAAACTATTAAAACTTCAGTTATGAAACTATTCACATCTGTTGAAAAATATTGCAGCTATTTACAGGGTACCTGTTAGTTAATCAGTGACTTAATGCAGTTCTGTTCCATCATAATTATACTACTTATTAAATCGTTACATTTGCATTTCTCAAACTCTTGCACAATATCAATACGCGCTGCTATCACGACTCAATCAACAGCAGACTGCACCTTATTCTGGATTCGCCAC